AAGATAAAACAGAGAATGTTATTTCTACGTGGGCAGCTACTGAATTACAATATAAAAGCCTTGACTCCTAAACCTGTCTTTTTCAAACCCTAAAATGTAAAGCTTATATATTCTCTAAGTCCAGTGCAGCGACCACTGTGCTGTGTTCATCTGGCCCACCCCAAATAGAGGCACAATTAAACTTTAAATGTTCCAAAGGCTTTCTGGACCTGTGAAGAGTGTTCTTCATTTCTCTACTCCTACAATTTTTCCTTCTGAAGATTTTAATATCAAATTTCCACAAAACTTTAATAGTATTGGGAGTTATGTAATTTTATGGAGATTGGCAAATCTGTATTTTGAAATTGAAAATGAAGACTCTTAGAGAAGATTGTAATGCTGAATTTATACACATATACATCTTGTGTGTGCATATCCGTATGTGTGTGTGTGTGTATCTGTGTGTGTGTGAATAGGAATTTAGAGCTTGTTCTGTGAAATGGCAGGATAAAGAGTAGGAAGATAAGAAACCCCCATCCAGGCATTAGGTACCGTAGTAGCAATTCTAGCTGTAGCAATGGGAAATAACTGGATGAAGTCCAAAGTCATACACTTGCCTCTGGCCCTCCGTCTTTAGTGCTGGAAGGGATTACATGGAGGGACCTGGTAAATGAGATTCTTGAGCCCTAGGATTCTGACTCTTTAGACTGGGGTGAAGCTCAGGAATCTGCATTTTTTACAAACTCCTTAGGTGAGTCTGCCCCAGGCAGTCAGCTGTCATCTTCTAAGACCACTCACAACCACACGACAATAGTATCCTGGGGTCTAGCAAGTGGTGGGATTTGGACAGCCATCCAAAACAAGGTGAAGGGACTCCCTGGTGGCACAAGGGGTTAAGTCTCAGCACTGTGAAGCTATTGGCAACCACTGAAGCATGAGTTCGAACCCTGGCCAGGGAGCTGACCCACATGACTCAGTAGACCTCTCCTGTCTCTCCTGCTGCTTTCCTCAGCAGTGTACTTCATTCAACGTGCCAGTTCTGCTCCCCACTCTGTCAATGCTCTCACTCCCCTCCCCACCCCATCCTTCCACACTTTGGCCTACATCCCAGCTCTTGTATGCATAAAGAAGAAAAAAGAACAAGGTAAGAGCAGCTAGTAGGTTTGAGGGTTCAGGTTGAAAGACTACCATAATAAATTACTGCAAGCCAGGTAGCTGAAAAAACAGAAAATTATTCTACCACTGATCTAGAGGCCAAATATCTGACATCACGGTGATAGTAGGGCTTTGCTCCCTCCAGAGGCTCTAGGGGGGATTTTGTTTCTTGTCTCTGCCAGATTCCAGTGGCTGTCTGCATTCCTTGGCTTGCTCATTTCAACCTTTGCTTCTGTCTTCATGTGGCCTTTTCCTATTCTCTGTGTGTCTTTTTGCTGGCTGTCTCTAAGGACACAGGTCATTGGATTTACTGCCTACCCAGACAATCCAGAAAGATCACATTTCAATATTCTTCATTGCATCTGTAACGACCCTTTTCTATGTAAGGCCGCAACCAGAGGTTCTGGAGATTAGGACAAAGAGCTGTATTTTGTGTACCACCATTCAGCCAACTATACAGACCAATCCTGGGACTAATAATTGTTTTATGCCACTGTCAGAGCAAGGGAAAGTAGACAGTGATTGGTGCGAGTGCTAGAGAAAATTCTAGTGCCCAAGGTCAGGAGGGTGCTGACTTAAGAACTAGCCAGGTATTGGACACTAACAAGGGAGCATGTTAGAGTAGATGAGCAGCAGAGCTAACGTTATTACTTTAAACTTCTGGGTCAAAAATTCTACAATCTATGAACCAGGACATGTCTGTGCTCCTACTTTGGAACAAAGTTAAGTTGCTGCTAGTAGATATCTGGGGGTGTTGGGAAGTTTAGAGGTTAACAGTCAGGATGACAAAAAACTGCAAAACACAATCACACAAAGATGCACAGTCACAAATAGCTTCCACTTATGGAACACCTATATATGCCTGGCACTCCACATTTATCATTGTCTCTTTTCATCATAACCTTGCACAACAGGTATTACAACAAGCTTCCTCATTTGGGAAAATGGGCTTTTAAATATTAACATTATGTAGCTAGGAAGTGGCAGTTAGAATTTAAACCCAAATTTCTCTGACCCCAAAACCTATTGTCTTTCTGTTGAAACATGCTGTCTCCTCAAATTTTAGCATCTTATCTTCCAAAACCTCCTTCTTTCTTTAGACTTTTTTCCTCTACCTCCTTATCCTGGGATTCATTAGATGTCTAGTCAAATGTCAAAATGATAAAACATCTGTTTCTCTACCAAATACCCTATATTAAAAATATATAACTTGGCTATGGCAGAATGATAAATATTGCAAAGTTTTCTAAAACATAATCACAGGTGTGGATCCCGATTGTGAATTCTTGCTCCTTGTGGCTGTGCTGTGTTCATCTACTTCTACTCACGCAAACGGGAAGCTTTAGCAGACATTTTGTGCCCAGACCCAAGTTCTTGGCTCATTTCTTTTTTATATCAATATTTTTAAGATTTATTTGTTTATTTGTGCATGCAGAACTGGGGTACAAGCCAGAGGTGCAGGGGTGGAGAGAGGATTCACCAGAGACAGAGTGGGGAGCAGAACAGGTTGATAGACAAAGTGCACTGCTGAGGGGAGCAGCAGGTTGGTAAGGATCACCTCCCAGGCTGGGGATCGAACATGCACTGCAGTGGCTGCCGTTAGCTTACAGTGCTGCTTTCTAACCTGTTGCACCACCAGGGAGGGCCTCTGGGCTCATTTCTAATTAAGATGCAAGTCTACAATGACTGTGTATGTTGTATCACCTTTCCCCCACATCCCTCCCTACCATGCATGCTGCCACTGAGATTCTATAGGTGGTGATAGACAAGAAATTACGGCGCTAGCCTCTACCATATCAATTCACAATATGGACCTAGATCAAGGAAGCTGCTAATACAGTATGACTCTCACCCAACCAGGAACTGATGTCTTTTGAGTACCACCTAATCTGCCCTAATGATAGAGTTCTATTATAGAGCTTCAATAAATGTATGGGAACTAGGTCATGGAGACTTAACTAGCTTCAAAGCAAAAATCGAAATATTTCTGCGACTAGGGTAGGGTCTCACAATACTTTAAGCTCATTCTGTTTCACAAGGCTGAATATCATGGAGTCCCAGCCTGAACTGACACTCTTTTTTTCTGACCATTCATAGCAAGGACTATATGAGTTGTTGGCAATTATTATCACATTGGGCCTAATATTTTCCAACAGGACTTGAACTGTGGTAATCTTCAACACCCAGTGAGTACCAGTCCAGCAATTATTTTGTACAATTCTCTGAGACTGGAACTGCAAATGATGGCACTTCATAAACACACATTTCCTCACATTCCTGCCGGGATTCTTTTTCCTGCTGTCTCTTTTCCAGCGATCTTCAGTTTTAAGGACCCATAAATAATTGCACCAATACAGATGTCAGTTTGACAATAACTTAGTAATATATTTTCTTGACCATATAAAGTCACAACACACACACACATACAAAATTAAAAATATTTTACAGTAGGTCTGAGTTGTCGTGTTTGCTTTCAGCCTGAGAACTTGCTAGGAAACTGAAATTGCCAAGTATTGGTGCTGGGGAGAGAAGCATTGGTTGGGAGCAAGACGTCATCGAGGGAAGTGTGTGCTTCTTCGGATTACAGTTTGGCGGGTTAGGAACCCCAGATCAGACCTAGGTTAGCCTTGATTAACTAACTGCCCTTGGGTGCCTCTGGACGGGGG